ACTCCTGCCTGATGTGTTGCAATGGATACAACAGTACAAATTGCCCAGGAGCCAATAACCACAAAGGTGTTCTGGGGACCCATATGTACCACTGATGCTATTTTAAAAGAACAGAAGCACAAGGTAGTTATTAGTTATATTTAATTATTGATTAATAGTAACTAAAGTCATTCCCATAAACAGTGAAGGGCAACTTTTACAAGATAAAACATAGCAGATATTACCAGCTTTATTTCCAAACTGAACCACCTTCAACATGCTCATCACTGCTGTAATTTCTTAAGAGTTGTTTCATTTGGGCTCTGTTACCATTTACCGTGACAGCAAAACCCAGGAACCTTTGCTGTTGCAGAAACACCCTTTCTTACCTCCAAGACCATGAATATCTTATTGGATGTCTCTATCACATGATACAGCTGGCAAATATGCTGGTGACTTAAGTTCTTCATGGCATCAATTTCTGTTTTAACACGAGGCAAGTCATCCTATGAGACCACAACAGCAAATTACGAACTTGCCAACTACTTTGACAGATGAGCACATCACAGTAAGCACTGCGCCACACAGAGTTTCACAGCATGGATAGGACAGCATACAAATCAAATTCAGGCCAGCACCAGCCCTGCTGTTACCCTCCTACAGTTCTGGCACATGGATCAGCGTAACCCAGAGGAGTAGATGCAAAATACCTAGTACTCTCATCAGCATTCTCTTTCAGTTACTGTAATGTTTAACTTCCTCAGTTTTACAGCTGGAGAACCTTGCCCCCTTCATACGGCAGCACAAGATTTGTGGTCTTTTGTTACAATTCTTTAAAGGCTGTAGCATCCCACCAATGGAACAACCCATCAGAACAAGCAGGTGTCAATTCAACATGTCACTGTGTTCTTGAGAACTGCAGCAGAACAGCAGAAGATCACAGAATCATTTAGACTGGAAAAGACCTTTAAGCTAATCGAGTCCAGCCACTAACCCAGCACTGCCAAGGCCACCATTCAACCATGTCCAAAAGTGCCACACCTCAACATCTTTTTAGTACGTCTTTAATATGTCCAGGGACGGTGAATCCACCCTGGGCAGCCTGTTCCAATGCTTGACAATCCTTTTGAGGAAGATTTTTTTCCCTAATATCCAATCTAAACCTCCCCTGGTGCAGCTTGAGGCCATTTCCAAGATGCTATGAACTTTTAAGTATCTTTTGGCTTACCCCTAGAGCAAGTTTGTCCATGATTTTTATTGCAACTTTTTCACCAGTGAGAAGATGGCGTCCAAGTTTTACCTTTGCAAATCCACCTAAAATTCCAAAAAGAGACAAATTCAAAGCTTAGCATGATGACACGCGTTCTTGTCAGCAATCTCAGAGCTACACTGGAGTATGTAGCAGGCACAACATGCAGTGTGTTCACCTGAAGAAGGGAATCACTACTACACTTTCTATTTTCAGAGTTCTGTTCCCCAAAGCACACCCTTGAAACATGACCTATAGATTCTGCAGTAACAGCTGATCTACACTCAGGTAAATACTGAAGCAGTTAGACCACACGCATCTGTTTGTATTAAAAGACTGAGCCTACCTGTTCCAATTGTTTCATGTAACTCATAGTACTTGAAAATCTCCTCACGGTCACCGACAGGCATTCTGAGAGGTACGGGGATCTTGCACTCCTCCTCAGCACCTGCAAGGAGGAAGCGTGGACAGCGGTCATGATTTTCCACTCGGAGCGTATTCACACACAGAAAGCACATTCGCCGCAGCCTACACGCCTAGCAATAACACCCCTAGGCAACGAAGTCCGAACACCGCAGGCTAAGGGCACAAGACCGCCATCTTCCAGGGACTCCTCACCAACGCCTAGCAGCGGTGGCAGGAACATTCCTGATGCTGCCCCGCGCCCGCGGCCAGGGCCTAGCACGCCCGGGCTGCCCGGCGAGAGGCGCCGGACGCGCCCCAGGCCTCCGCGGAGCCCTACCGCCAGGGAACGGCGAGAGCCACCCCGTGATAACCGGCGGCTGCATGGCGCGGGCAAAGGGAACAACACTCACAGCCTGAACAGCCACCTCCCGGTGCGACCGTTACCGTTCAAATCTCCCACCGCAGAGCCTACTTCCGGGGCCGAGGGGCCAATCACCGCGCAGCGCCTCACCGGAACAGGCGGAGCCGGGAGAGCGGAGCGGGTGCCTCCAAGGTGGAAGTATCTATCCTGCCACCTGGTGGCCGGCGGGATGACTTCCACTTGGGCCGCGCCGGGCCCTAGAGATGAGAAAGACCCCGCTACCGCTGTGAACCCTACGGCCGATGGCGACGGGCGAGGGGGCTGCGCCGTACGGAGTATCGCCACGCACAAGGTACCTGCCGCGGCGGCCGCGCCTGCGGCTCCAGTGGGACTGTTCACTTCAGTATATAGCGGCTGGTGGAACATATTATTTCTGTAAAAAGGGTTAACCGATGCACAGAGGGGGGTTAGGGATAAGCCGCTTGCTTAGCAATGTTACCGCTTACTCGTGCTTACTCAACAAATACGTGCTCAACACTCACCGTGCTTGCCGGAAGAGAGTGGGAGCACTAAGGAAGGAACAGTAACTCCTGTTCTCTGGACCCCTAAACCGACTGAAATCAGCTTTACGGTTTGGACAGTGACCAAATCACCAGGGAACACGCACAACAACTAGAGATGGGAAGTTCAGGGAAGACTCGTTTACTCCATCTTGAGACCCCGCCTATGACTACCAGGAGACACTAGCAAGCAAGGACCTCATGGGTGTAAACTGGAGCATAGAAGGTTCCACGTTAACATCAGGAAGAACTTCTTTACTGTGAGAGTGACAGAGCACTGGAACAGGCTGCCCAGGGGGGTTGTGGAGTCTCTCACATTGGAGATATTCAAGGCCCACCTGGACAAGTTCCTGTGTGATGTACTCTAGGTTACCCTGCTCTTGCAGGGGGGTTGGACCAGATGATCCCTTGAGGTCCCTTCCAACCCTTGGGATTCTGTGATTCTGTGATAATATGAAGCGGGGATAGGTCATGAATATGTACAGGCGTGTTAGGTAACCTCATAAATATGTAATAGTTTAGAGAATAAATATGAAGGAGAACAATGCTGAGGTGCACATGCCTTTGGAGGAGCTATCCCCCGTGTGCCTCAGCGCTGAATAAAAGCATACCTACTTTACAACTTTAACGAGTTGCAGAGTCTACCCGCATATCACCTGCTTTGCAACCTTCTCAGGCAGACTGTCTTTCCCAAATAAAGAGATTTACATTTCTGAGGATAGGGTTCAATTTTCTCCCTAATGAAAAAAAATGATGTGGGAATCCAGAAGTCAAATCTGGCCTGTTAACTGCAATACAACTGTGAAAACCAAAGGAAAGGGGGAAAAGCGGTAGCTGGGACTCGATCAGATTGTGAGTGCCCTCATGAACCATGACAAACAAGTATTTTGCAAGGGTTTTTCTAAACACATTATATTCAGGTTTAATTTACTTTGTGGGTTTTAATTAATTCTAGGGTTTCTTCTGTCTTACAACAGCCATTCAAGTATCAGCAGTAATAAATGTAAATGAAAAATAAATATTGTAATGCATTCTTAAAAACTTTATTAGTGTAACACAGGTTCTTAGTACAGACTGTGAAGTACAGTCAGAAGTCTAAATATCCCCAATTTAAATCTCCAGGCTGTCTCTGTCTTCAGTGTTAGATACCAGAGTCAGATTTTGGTATTGAACGTTGGCATGTCCTTCCTTTGCAAGCACACTGACAAGCAGTACACTCATGAAGACAGAATAAACCACATGGAGGCAGGTGGCCACCTCTGTGGGAGAGCCCGGTCTGCAACAGACTTGCAAAAGGCACTTACTTGTGCCTGTTCATTGCAGAGCAGGTGAACACGATGCTCCTTGAAGCACAAACAACTGCCCTGCATTCCCTGCTGGAGCCTGAGGAACAGAGGTGAGGACTAGAAACAGTGCAAATCAAAATAGAAAGGAGTGCGCCTGTTGACCTGAACTTCTCTTTAATCTCTGCTAATGCTTGTGTACCTTTTTATATTTCCTTTGCTGTGATGGTAATAGTGGCATTGTTACACTAGGATTTGTATTTGTTCAGTCCAGGAGACTCCTGAAATTATAAAATAACAGTACAGATACCACTGGAAGTAGAAACTTAAAATCTGTATCTGGTGTGTTTTTCTCCTTTTTAACTACAATTAAGGCAGCATCCAAAATACCTCTCTTATTACTACATGTGCTTGATGAAGCAGTTAATCCTCAATTTTTCAGTCTTTAGCTACCACACCTTACTTACAGTCTACCAGGAACTGGCTTGCAGAAAGAATGCACAGCCAGGCTGAGGATAGCTAAAGCTTAATATATTCCAGAATACTTAATGCACTCACTGCAATGTTAAAAATGCTAGCACGTACAAATTCTTCTGAGATTTACAGGCACTATGTGGAGATTATGTGCAAAAGTCTGCAGTATTTTTCTTTGGCATTGCTATTATAAAATATAGTATTTCTTGCAAATATAAAGCATCCTTTCCCTCTGAAAACTGAAGAAAATTACAAAAAAGTCTAAGTATATGAGTGTAATAAAATTAATGGCTAGAGTGGAAAAAAAAACCAAACCAAAAACCCCAAACCTAATGCAACTTAGTCCACTACTGGGAAAAAATATGGAAAAAGACCAGCAAGTTTCACCATACAAAGACCACCCAGCGTAACCATATGTTTTTTGCATGAGCTTTTGTTCTTCAGGAATTATTATCCACCAAGAGAAAGAAGGTGTTTTCTGTGATGCACCAAGACCCTGGGGGAAAGAAAGAGGAAAAAAAGTTAAGAGTGCTCATCTTCTTTGAGAAAAACTTCACAAAATAAATCTGGGATGAATTATCAGAAACAAGTCTCCAGACAGAAAGAGATCTAGGAAGACTTAATATCACAAGGCATTTGGTATTGTTTGAAAGTGATACTGCAGTGAGGTATGTTATTAATGCAATAATGATGCATCTTTGTCTTGCTCATTTGAGGTTGGTTGCCAAATCTCCACACAGGATTTTGCCACACAGAGTCACTCCTCCTCCCAGGAGAGCCAGGACCTCCTCTGCAGGCCAAGAAAAGTGGCTCCCCTCAGGTTCTTCAGGGTGCTAGACCTGGGACACTCCTGGCTGGCAGGTGGTAGGTAGATGGATCAGGCCCAGGATGTGCTTCAGCCTCTCCCCTCCATGCCCCAGGAAACCGCCCAGCCTGAAGCACATGTATCCAACACTGAAGAGTAGTTAAGTGAATGCCCCCATGAACTAACAGTGATGATGAAAGACTCCAATTACTTTCTCTTACATTACAGGTGTGATCAAGATAAGTACAAAGAAGTAAGTGGCATCAGGTGGAATGTGTTCATAGAAGGAGGCTGTACTTGGGCCAGGAAAGCTGAGAGCAGAGCACTGAAACCTGCTCTACCTGCTAGTTTATCTGTGGGGATTTTTGCACCTGCTCTGCCTGTTATTCTGAAATTAACTGAGTGCAGAAGTACTGACAATAGTCACTGTCCTAAAGATAAAAACAAGCAGCTGAGATGTGCTTGTTCTTCAGTAGTCTAAAAAGATCTTATGGTGGAAGCACAATGTCATGCCTTGGAATCCTCAGCTGCAGAAACCTAAAGGAACGCACCTATGTATAAGGACGGACATAGGGTGTGAGGAAAAAGCAAGGCTTTTTCTGCCCAGGAACACTGAGCTTCAAAGTCACTGCAAGTGTGTGTCTAACAGTGTCTCTAACCATGTCTAGGTTTAGTAAAATGCTGTGAGCAAAACTTGGCTTCAGTAACACTAGCATGAGTTGTCTTTGTGATAGTTAAAGAGAAGAGAGAGGGAGAAATCTTACCCAATAACGTTAACATTAGCTTTAATGTCAACGTTTAGCTTGTTTTCTGCTTCTCAGATTTGCTGCTGGAGGACTGTCCCTTTGCCTGAAGAGCAAGAGAAGCATAACATAGTAAGAAACTGCATACTACATTTCTGAAATAAAACAGTGACAGATACTTTTCAGAAGGCATGGTTCAGACATGAGTATGATCTGCATTTAAAATGCAGAAAGTTTAGTAACTGTATTTGTAACTTCTGTTGTGTCTATATATTTTAATTTTTCCACACTTTTATCTTTCAGATATGCCCTCTTCATATTCTACTTCTGAACATCCTTTTACCCATGCTAGTGATCCAGTCACAACTCAGAATATTAAAAAATACATCCTTCTGAGAAGGAGTTAAAGACACCCCCCACCACCACCCTGTTCAACATAAAAAATTGAAAAGCATTTCTGTATGCATGTATGACAATTTAATAAGAGAGAAAAATGCCATTACTTGAAATGTGAAACGTAAGATTTCCTGAGCAGGTATCACCATCTGATTCAGGCACCTACCTGCATGTATCCTGTGAGAGAATGTGATGGGAAAAATCTATTTTCTGTATTTCTGGATGACAAAGGCCAAGCTAACTTTTTTTTTTTTAATATGTATATAATCAACTGCCTTCCTTTTCCCACCAGATTCATTCTGCATACTTCTTTTTAAATAAAGATAGTGCTTTATTCTTTTTTTCCCACAACAAATACTAATAATGCAAGAAACAGACATGTGGTTGAAGATGTATACCCTAATCGCTTTTAGACTGCTGCTATTTAAAAGAGAAGAGATGTGGGTCCTAAGGCAGCTGCAGGCACATGAAGTGTGACTTTAGTATCAGCAAATATGGGAATGAAGAGTTTGTGGAGCATGCACTGAGACCCCTGTAGAATACCATACTCTCTCTGAAAGAAACATATTTTAGCCCCCTTTTATTGAACATTTTCCTTGTAACAGAAAGGTGCTTTTCTCCTATGTATATGCTTCCAAAAATGGATTAAGTTCAACCTATCCATGTAAAATTCTCCCCAGAGTAACAGTCATGTAACACGAATCCAAAATCCAGTTGCCCACGTTTCATATTTATAGTGTATGATAACCATGATTTTCCATAATGTAATACATATGTTTCTACCGTTTTAGGGTCTTTGGGTTTTCCTTTAGCCTTCGGGGTTGGCTTAGTGGTTTCCTTTCCACTTTTGTCCTACACTCCAAAGAAAAAAATTAATTACAGTTACAAATAGAATAGAGAATTGATGGCACCTACTTCAACATCTGCCATAACACATTTTTTTAAATGCAGCTGTTAGGGTGGGAGAGAGCTCAACACAGGATGCATGCATGTAATTACTGCCACTAGTCCATGGCAAGGTGGAATCTGGAGCTTCATTTAATACTGGGGAGATGAGGGCACCAGAAAGCATACTGAGATAAAAAAAACTGGTATACAGGCATATTTTGTATTTACTACAAAGCAATAATGTTGCAGCAGCAATTTAGCAGATTCAGAAGTTTATAACCAAACAAAACAGCACTTTAAACACCAACAGTTTGTCTTAAGCCATCTGAGGATTTGGTGTCAAGGTAAGCACCTGGGGAAGTACTGCAGAGGCCAGAACAGCTATTTGGAAATGCAGGTATTTCCTCCCAGGAACTGCATCTGATGTTAACTTCAGTTTGCAAGCTGCTGCTTTTTGACCCCCCGGGAGAGGAACAAACACATCATAAAAGCACAGATAATCATAATCAACATTTTAAGTATGGACAAACTTCTAATTCACTCTTGGTAACTGGGTGCCTTGTAGTATACGCTTAAAGGAATTAATGTAAAAGTTCACCTGGAAACTGGTTATGCTTCCATACCTGTGACTATCCAAGGGATTTAATTTTTGACTGCTAATATACTGGTTTGGCCAAAGATCAAAGATCTTGTAACCCCAAGCTATTTTTTTTCCATTTCTCCTTGCAGGAAGCAGGCAGGGATAGGCTGGCAGAAGGCAGTAGCACGAGAAACAACAGCAGGTGCTTTACTCAGCTAAGTACAAAAAGTATGCATGGTTTAAAACCATGTGTATCACTCCCTCTGTCTGCAGGTGAGAGATCAGGGCATAGGACAAAACACATCACATCACAGAACCACAGACTGGGTTGGGTTGGAAGGCACCTTAAAGCTCATCCAGTTCTAAACCTGTGCCACAGGCAGGGACACCTTCCACTAGACCAGGTTGCTCCAAGCCCCATCCAACCTGGCCTTGAACACTGCCAGGGATGGGGCAGCCACAGCTTCTCTGGGCAACCTGTGCCAGGGCCTCAGCACCCTCACAGGGAAAAACTTCTGCCTAAGATTTAATCTCCATCTTCCCTCTGTCAGGTTAAAGCCATTCCCCCTTGTCCTGTCCCTACAGGCCCTTGTCCAAAGCCCCTTTCCATGTTTCCTGTAGCCCCTTTAGGCACTGGAGCTGCTCTAAGGTCTCCCCTTAAGGAGCCTTCTCTTCTTCAGGCTGAACAAGCCCAGCTCTCTCAGCCTGACTCCAGAGCAGAGCTGCTCCAGCCCTTGCAGCATCTCTCTGGCCTCCTCCAGACTTGCTCCAACAGCTCCATGTCCCTCTTGCATTGTTGCCCCAGAGCTGGACACAGGACTGCAGGGGGGGTCTCTCCAGAGCGCAGCAGAGGGGATGAATCCCCTCCCTCGACCTGCTTCTCATGCTCTGGGGATGCAGCCCAGCACACGGGGCAGTTCTGGGCTCAGGTGCACATGGTCAGGTCATGGGGAAACTATGTATCAGAAAATCTTCCTTTTTCCAAACATTTAGTACAGCAAGATGCATGAAACTTCCATCATAGTAGTAAGACAACCACTTTGGACAGCATCTTCCAAAGAGGCCAGCTCAAAACCTAAACTGAGCTACTGCAAAAAGTGAGAAACTTTCATAGAGTAGTGAAAAACTGTTTATTTTCCAAGTTACTAGAGAAAATGTCCTACCTTTGAGTGCTGTGGTGTGGCAGGAGCCCTTGCACTAGTATCAAAGTCACCTGATAGGGCGTCGATAGCTGCAGAGTCATCTATTCGCTTCTGCAATAATTTCAATTCTGAAGTCACACAATATGCAATACTTCTCACAGTCAACTTATGTTTCAGGGATTTATGTCTACTTTAATTACACTTTTCTAAAAAAAACCCCAAAATAACAACAACAACAAAAAAAAAGAAAACCAAAACCAAACTATACCTGGGCTCTACACATATGTTAGGACAGACATGTTTATTTGAGGTTTCCAAGACACAGTTTCTTTCAATAGTGGACCTGAACATTCACATCATTAGTTGCATATAAAAACTGTAATTATTGTGAACAGTTAATCTTCACAAAAGTTTTACTATCCACGAAGTTACTATTACTTACTCCATTCAACAGCATTTATGAGAACATGCAGTGAATCATGCCTTGAGCCTACAATGACAGTACTTTGGAAAACAGGTCAGAGGACACAGCATGCAACAAACACAAAACAAAAATACCATAAATGTTACCTCTGGTTCTTTGTGTTTCACACTGCCCTTTGCTGTTGGCTTTATTGGTTTACCCTTGGGAAGAAGAAAGATTGCATCCTCACTTTGAACTGCTTAGATCAGGTTTAAGATACACGTATACTGATGTATGACATTGGGAGTTTACAGATCACAAAGAAAGTCGATTTCTTTGTTTCTTGTGCTATGTACTCAAAGACAGTTCGTGGTATCTTTTCATGGTCTGTTACTACATTTACAATATCATCTTTCTATGTAGTCTACTGGAAAAACAATTTTCTGATCCAAAACCTACTGATCAAAACCTACTTTTTCTTGTTTTTTTTTTTTTAATTAAATGCATGCAAGGATATACAGAGATACTCTATCTGTAGGGTATTTACATATTTAACACAAATACGAAAATATAGTACACACTTCCTCAGCTTCCCTGTTCTTATAAAACCAACAAGGACAGACTGGCTCATACACACAAATTTATGGTGTTGCAAGTCCAAACTAACAAAGTTAACAAAACTAACTTTTCCTTACCTGCTCACCTGACTCCAGAAGTTCTTGATAATCAGGTGGGATAGTATCATCTCTTTCTCCAAGTTTGTCTCTGTGTTCAGATTTAGCTTTTTCCTGAAAGCATTTAAGCTTTTAACAACTGAATACTTATGTTAGAAATATTAGCAAACAGTAGTCAAGAGTACTCAAATAAACTTGGGACAGAACCTTTTTTAAATTTAAAATTTTTAAACTATCAGAAAAAAACCCTATATATTTATTTCCCTATGATCTGTGTTTCATGCCTGAAAATTTTAAAATTACTAGCTCTCAGGAAATGTACCGATTTAGTTAGACACACATAAAGAACAGCATGCCAAAATAAACAAAGAAGTCATGTCAGTTTTCAGTTTTGCTTTTCGACAATATGGCTAAAAGAGGTCATTCCATACTTCTGTGTCAAATCTCATCCATGCACTGTATCTTTAAAACAAAGCCAAAGTTCCTGCAATGTCTTACCCGTGAATGCATCCCAGTACCTTCAGCAGAACCCAGGGTATGTATCCATCTCACACCCAAACTGATCAAGAGTGGCCTACACTTCTCATCAAACTTCAAAGCCAGGCTCAGTTTCAAATCCAACACAACTCGAAGCCAGAGCAGCACAAGCTCTGGAGACTCCATCAAGGAGGGAAGCGTTCCTTTTGCTACATTTATTTTTCAATTTAAGCTGCACAGATTTCTGACAAACATACCAGAAACGTACTTAGCAAAACACCTGGTTTGCATACAAGTAGGTTTTTAAGCACATTGTTGAAGAGTACTTTTGTATTTGTTAATGAAGACATTTTAATTATTTTTTTAATTTATTTTCTGAACATAGGCATTTTCCATGCCTTTTATAAGGAACAACACATGAAGAAAGCTAGGTTCCTACAGCTCCACTGAAAGACAGCAGCTGCTGAGATACCACACATCAAGCATTCACTCCTCTGCTATGGCAAGAGACTGCCCAGGCTGCCTATTGCCTATTCCCAAGGCAGCCAATAACCTTTGCACAGGAACCTGTCTGAGATTTATCTCCTCCTAGATTCTGGACTGAATTTATCAATGAGCATCTTATGGTGGTTTTTTTTTTTCCCAATAGCATCCTTTTTCTTAATTATTTCAGTTTACAATTTACTATTATGCAGAAATGTGCCTGATTTCCTTACTACAAGCAAGATCTTTATACAATTATATGAAGAAAGACTGAATGAAGACAAAGCAAGCAGAAACAAGCAAGTTAAAAAAGGGGACTGATTAAATGAAGATGTCTGTTGAACTTGTTTTTTGTGGGGTTATACAAGTCCAATTTTGACAAAAAGAAGGCTACAAAATTAATTTTTTTGAACAGAAACCAGAGAAGACACCTGAAAAATAATTAGAATAACAATAAAAGGCACTGAAATCAAATTACTGCAAATTTCCTGTAATATTTCAACACTCACCCCTAAGTGGCTAATGTATATATTTATCTAATTCAACATTTGTCACAAAACACACAAGTAATCCAGTTGGCTCAACAGTGGCTGACATGCCTCCATTTAGGACAACATAAAAGTATGTTGTTTTTTTGAGTAAGAATCTTACTTCTGTATCTAAAATGACATGTCATATGCTCCTATAAATGTGTAAGACATATTGCAGTACTAAAAAAATATATTAAAAAAACCCAAAACATCCAACAAATAAGGTAAGTTTCACATATTTGTTTGTTTGGGTTTTTGCTTTTGTTAGGGTTTTTTTTTCAGTTGTTTAGTTTCCCCACCAGATTGCACAAGTTTCAGAATGTCTTTTGTTACCTTTACTTTGTCCACAACCGATTTGTTCTCATCAGGGTCAGGTTCCCTCTGCCCCAGGGAATCAGACAGGAGATCCAAGGCTTCATCCATCTCTTTCTCTCCCTAACAAAGTATAAACATATTCATGAACGCAAATCTGCTGTAAAAATAATTCAATTCACCAAACTAATACAAGTACTGACTAATGAACTGTCAACTTCAGTGAAAAATGACAGCTCTCCTTTTGTAATTACAGTGTAGAGCAGTACTGGGGAAAACATTTACAGAATATTTAGACCTACAGAGAACATAATTTCAGGAAGGGGTTATGGAATTTATTTTAATGACTTTCTTTTGTTACACATAGGCCTAAATGATTTAATGAGAACAGTTGTATGAAAACACTGGGTTTTGGCAAATGCCATTAATTTTGCAAACATAATTATCACTGCAGATTAGCTGTTAAAGAAGTGTCAATCTGAATTAAAATTCATTAACATTTTTATCTTCTTCACAATATATATCGTCTTTTGCTAATTCACACCAGCTTTATTCAAAAAAATGGTTAGAAAAAAAAGCCCTTAAAACCAATAATAACCCAGGCAGAAGGAGCTTTAGTCCCCTCTCAAATTAGGCAGGAAACACTAGTTAGTGCACAACTGCACAGATCAAAATGGGTTAAAAAATGATCCAGGCAATACGACAGCTAAAAGCAAAGAAGGGAAGTTCTGGTATTAAAAGAAGGTGCTGGTGCTGCCTGTCCCTTCTTTCATCTTGAACTCCTCTTATAAGTTTAACAAATGACTTCGCCACTATGGTGATGGCTACACTATTATTATTTTAAATGTTCTCATAATGTTCCTTACCTAACCAGGAAAAAAAAAGGTGTTCTGCTAAGGGCCCAAGCCTCAAAATGAAACCACTTGCGCATAGGTAACTACCTGCACTGACACATAGAAAGGAAATGCAGACATCCTCTGATGTGCTCCGTAACTTTGTCCAGAAATTCATACTTTCCCTCCCATCCACCCCCCCATCCCCAGGGGGACATTTACTTTCCTCCCATTTGCCATTATTAGCAACAAACTGTTTAACTGTGCAATAGCCTGTATCAATAAAACTGTTCAGATCATGCTCCCATCTCTCTTCATTAGTCAGTTCTGAATTTCAGAATAGGATTTACAGAAAAGGTTGCTTACGGAGGTAGAAGCTAGAGGAGCTGCTGAGTGCACTGAAGAAACTGTAGCAGCAGAGACAATGTTGGAAGAATCTGCAGAATTTTTTACCTTCTTGGTTTTCTGAAACAAGACAGATCATCATTACTAACAGAGAGGTTTAAAATAAAAACATACATTAAATTCCACACCTCTAAAATGCAATACCTGTCCTCTTTATTTCTAGGACTTTTTTTTTTTTTTCAAAGCTCTACTTATTTCAGATTGAAACTTTTTTCTGTGAAGCACTGCACAACTGTTTTGCATCTCAGTTTGTTCATGTTCCATCTTCCCTCCCAACTACTGGGTTAAACCTTACCATAGCTTAAGTCAGAGGCAAGTTTAATATACCTTCAGAGGAGCTAAGACTTCACCAAGCCCATCTATATTCCCAAGTAACACTTTTAAAATTCTCAACTGCAAAGCATTACTTATGCTAGCAGCTATTAAAAGATGACAACTAACTTACCTGCTTTTTTCCCTCATTATTAAAATACTGCTTTCCTATTAATTTGTTGCAAAAATATTTTAAATTTTAGTCACTGAATTTGATTAGAGAAAGTTTACATGAACTTTGAGGAAAACATAAAATATCAAGATTGTTGAAGCAATCTGAAAATAAACAAATTTTCAGAAATCAAGTATACTCACCTTTATTACAGTTTGTGTAGGTAGTGGAGCAGATGGAGATGGAGAATAGGAAAATCCTTCTGACAAACCCTCTAAAAGATCGTTTTCACTCATAGGCTAACATTAAGAACAAAAAGAGGCTTGTAAGCATTTTCATCTACTAAAAAGTGAGCAGTTAACACAGTCTACCTCCATTTTTAAACTGAAAACTGGGAAACCTTACTGACATTTGGGTAAGTAATTAATGAATGAAACACTGAATATTCACTTTTTTTTTACCTGGGACTTTTCTTCTGGTTTTGGTAAGAGTGGTTTTCCTTCTTCATCCTACAAAATAAAAATCCCCTTGTATTATTATACCAAGTGATTTTTAAATGACTTTCAATACAAGTACTCTGAAAGCACTCAGCAAACAGAGAGTATTACACAAGAAAACGATCTAACTAAGCAATCTGTTCCATCTGTTGCTGTTACTCAAAGTGTCATTTAATAAATCCAGGTGCTGTAAATTAAAAATATCTGAGTGCTGGAAAGTGATTCAGTGTGGGATTCTGAGCTTCCCTACTTACTGTTTCAATTTCCACAGAAATAGCACAAGTAATAAATAAAATACCAGCCTCTATCAACATTGGTAACAATCATCCTGCACACAGATTTCAGAAAGGCTGTTATCTTTTCACAATGGCAGCTGTGGCAGATGTTGTGCAAATCTTGGGTACACCTAAATTACCCATTTATGTCAAACGAGTCATGTGGTGATGTCTGCAAGCATACCACCTTGAAGCATTTTTTAACAGCTTTGAGCAACCACAATTTACTAAGTACTAGAATACAGAAAGCTAATGAAAAATTTCAGCGAACTAATCTCAGCCTTAATTATTCATGTTTAGGTACCTACATCCAAACCACTTCTGTGCCTATTTAGGCATCTAATGACAGATGTCAGATATTCAGAAACTACAAACTGGAATTTTTATATGCTAAAAAAAAATGGCTGAACTAAACACCAACATATAAAAATGAAATGGAGTTTCAGTTTCATCTATGTATTCTTAGGAACAAAAGGAAAGTAAGAGCAAGACAGCACATTAAATAAACTACTTTTGCTTCTGTTAATCTGTACTCTGGAGGAATTGTTTCTTCATCTTCACCCAGTTTTTTGTGTTGCTCCTCTTTGGTTTTCTCCTGTGAAGGCAAAATCAACGTAATATTAATAAAACCAAATAACTACATTCCAACAGAAATGCAGATGAGCAAGCTTTTGAGGTCTTTGGTCTCCTGATTCAAATCAATCTTTCTAGTCCAACTACCAGATAAAAACCTCTTAAAATTAGAAGAAAGCCTGTTGAGAAAGCCTTTAATTCTCTGCCTGTTTCCTCTTGTGTATATCAGAAGTACCTCTACCTATTTCAATTAAGATCAACAGAGTTAAGTAAATAGACAATCATAGACCAATCTAAAATAGATTTATACCCGAGTCTTAACTTTTGACTTCTTCTGAAATCCTCTCAACAGCTGTCTGGGCTGTGTACAAAGGAAAGCTGAACAGAGAAATCTGTAGTCAACTCTAAAAAGCACTATCTTCTTACAAGTTATGTTGGAAGATGGCAACTAGAAAAAGGTAGTAAAGTCAACTTTGGGAACTTCTATTTGATGGAGTTCCAGCCCACTCACAATGCCGTACTTCCTAGTTTTGGCTCCAGTCAATACCACCTGGCCCATGGTTTGGGGTGGCTAATAGGGGTATTCAGACTGCGACTATGAACAGCATTAACTCAGAATACACATACTTGAGTGTGTTGCTTAAGGCTCCCTGTTAAAATAACAAGGTAAGTGGCAAAAAACAGGTTTATGTATCATTTGTAATTTAAACAACTTATCATGAATTTGGTACCTTTTGAAAGAAGGTCGCTACCTCTGATGTACATGTTAATTCTGCTTTGGTTCAACAGTAAGACACTAAACAAATGCAATTTTCAGAAGCTGAGGGAACTGTTGTAATAGGCAAAATTATCTAGAAAATAATACTCCCTGTACTGAAAGCCTACTAGTACTTCTTAAGCAGAACACAGCAGGTTTCACAGGTACGTTTTGGTTTTTTTTTTTAAAAAGAAAAAGTTAAAGTATTACCTCTAAATTGTTTCTAGCCTGAGGAAATACAGTAACACTGAAGATAATTACATCAACAGTCTATTTTTTGAGGTCTCATTGTTTCTCTACCTTAATTTTGTCCACAGCAGGCTTCTTTTCCTCTGGATCAGACTCCATCTTTCCTAGGGTACTGGATAAGGCTTCCAGTGCTTCATCTGCCACTTGACCAACCTGTTGGGGTATCGTTACAGTAAAAAATAAGTCTTAGCTTGCAGTTCACCTGCAGCTGAATAAACCTGTTCACATACAAGCCACACATTCCTTAAGGTGAAAACTGAGAAGTAAACCAAAAAACAGTAATGCTTTTTTTTCCCTAATTGTTTTCACATATTTGGGATCTGCTGGGTTCAAGGCATAAGGAAACTTTGTCAGAGGTTACTCTGTAAACAGGCGCCTCCTTTCCAAAGACTTAAATCACAGCTAAAATGTTCCACAGGGAGGTTGTTTGTTTTGGGTTTTTTTTTAATAAAATCATATATATGCTGCAAACAAGTGCAAGAATGTCAGCCTTTAATGTCATCTTCCTTCAGCAGGACAACTGTTATTGTTTTGTAGAAACTGTCTTTTCCTGCAAGTACCTATTAAGTTCACAAGCAACATCCCTTTTACAGCAGTAAGTGCTAGAGTAGACCACAAGAACTGTCAGCTTGACTTCCTCTGTTTAGAAGGTCACTGATCTTCCCCATTCAGTTTGTCTGACTTTTATTTTTTTGTTTGTTTTTGTTTGAAAGCACGCTGCCTTTGTGGCTTACCTCTAAGGAGGATTAATATGAAATACTGAAACAAGCATCTTGAAAACATGCTATACGATTGCATAAATGAAGCACTGAATTTTGCTTCATTTCCAGCTAAGACTACTCACTGAAGACACAGCTGTTGCAGCTGAAGACTGCAGAGTGCAAGCTGTGGCGCAAGGGACTGCTTCATCCTCGGTAGCTTTTGCAGCCACAGGATCTGAAGGCGTCTGAAACAGAACAATTACACTACATTTTACTGATTACGCTCAGAAACCCAAAAGGTGCCTGTTAAGTGCCCCCCCCTCTTTATTTTTAATACAGTACAGACCAAGAAAGAAAAGTCTAGATTTAAAGGCAGAAACCCCTCAGTTAAGGCCTAACTGCCAATCCTCCATGCAATTGGGGGTTTGGGGACGGGACAAAAACCAGGATAAAGTATTTTTAATGGAAGAATAGTAACATCATCCACTCTTAGCAAAACTATCACTGTCAGCATCTTCAGTGAATAGAAAGACGTACTTTGGACACGCTGCTGGGATGTGATGGTTTGGACTGTACTGCAGGCCGGGCAGGGCACGCAAAGTCTTTCGAAAATTCATCAACAAGATCAGATTCACTCAAAGGCTGCAAAAAAAAAACAAAACCCATGTGGTAGAGGTGACTCACTGCCTGGTTTTAATTTATCTTTCCAAGAATTTTATTTCAAGTACTTAGAAAGCAGAAAAACTTTTGTAGTCAACACCAAAATAATCTTTTACATTTATGTGCAACAAAACAACGTGAGTTTTGTGGTGCATAAAGAAAGAAAATAGCTTTTCAGAATGAGTCAGTTGCTCTGTTATCAAAAGTCAGTACAATGTAAAGAACATGATGTTCGATACTGTTTACAGGGCTACTGAAAGGAAAAAGGAACCTCTTAGCTAGAGAAATAGATATTTAACAGAACAACTTACAGAACGCCTACTGAATTATATTTGTGTCTCTGAATGATAAAGATGAAAGAGCCCAGAAATGCTTATTCTCCTACCAACCACTTAATTCTTCTGGTATAAGACTTCATGATTCTGAGTTCATCTTCTGCTTTGGTTTTGTACTGGACTTTAGTCAAGCCATGAACCAACTCCTTTAACTCATGTGAAGTTCCTCTTCTGGAGCTTTTCTGCTTTTTGTGTCCTTCTCTTTTGTGCTCCCTGTGAAACAGGAATACTTGTCTCCTAAACACCAGTGCCTGGCCCCCTCAGAACTGTTCTCCCTTTTTTTTCCTATGACATGATTGGCAGGTGTTCCTTCTGGGCAGCTCTCGCACAACACCCACTACAGACAATTCCATGTCTAAGACCCAACACACAAATTTCTAGATATATTTTCACCGCTGCCTTTGCGTTCCTCTCTATTTCAAGCTTGAATAAGATAAATGAATTCACATTCCCCCTAAAAGGCATGGTGTCACCCTTGCTGAGATTGGTCCTGACTCATTTCAGAAGAACAGGGGTTTCCTGTACTTATCCAATTTGGCAGCTCTCATCAACTCGTAGTATTCACAAAGTGAAGCCCTCAGTTTCTTCAGTGCACAGTTCCTCTGCTTTTCCCAATCTCTGCTTTCTTCTTGTGCATTTTAAATTTAAAAAAAACTTTGTAACTTCCAATCTTTTCCTTCTATCTTACACTTCCTAAGCCACAATGGATACTTTTTGCAAAGTTCAAGTTGTTCTTCACTATTAGGAAAATGTTCACAGTGGCTTTTTCCCTCTTTCTAGTCATGCTCCTTTATATGTGATGACTAATGAAAGGGAACTGTCAAGAAAACAAAAGATTTTCCTGCCTTGCCTCTTTCTGTCCTTCAACAACTCCAATAGACTTCTACAGAATACCTTAAACTAACACCCCACACAGCTTTTATTTGCGTCAGCAGTCATTTCTGTAATTCTCTCGTGTCAGTTATCTCTAAACTTTTTTCTTACTGTTAGCTCTTCATTTGCAGCCAGTGAATTTCAAGAAATCCAACTTTCACTTGACACTTCAGATCAGCAGGTTTTGTGGAAGGCAGTAAACACACAAGCAGACCAAGAGACTTACATAATGGCAGAGAGAGAAATGACAATAGAGAAGGAGAAAACAGGGTATCTATTCACACTCTCTCAGCATTGTCAGTTTTCTAACCTTAGGTTTTTCTTCAGGCTTTGGCAATACTGGTTTTCCATCTTTATCCTAGAAGTAAAGTAAGTATAATTGACATTTTTCCATTGTTTTAAGAAGTTCCATACTCCATAATCACCAGCAAAGTAACACAAAGTAAATTATCAAAAGAATGCATCAAAATGCATCAAAAGGAATGTGACCAGCAGGATGAAGGAGGTGATCCTGACACTCTGCTCTGCTCTTGTGAGACCCCACTTGAAGTACTGCATGGAGTTCTGGTGTTCTCAACATAAGAGGGACATGGAGCTGCTGAAGCAAGTCCAGAAGAGGGCCTTGAGGGTGATAAGGTGGCTGCAGCACCTCCCGTATGAAGACAGGCTTAGAAAGTTGGGGCTGTTCAGCCTGGAGAAGGCTGCGTGGAGCCTTCAGAGCAGCCTTCCAGTATTTGAAGGGGGCCTACAAGGATGCTGGAGAGGGACTCTTAATCAAGGACTGCAGCAATAGCACAAGGGGTGATGGGTTAAACTTGAACAGGGAAGTCTGTATTAGGTAAAAGGAAGAAGTTCTTGACTGTGAGGGTGGTGAGGCACTGGAATGGGTTGCCCAGAGAAGTGATAAATGCCCCATCCCTGTCAGTGTTCAAGGTCAGGTTGGACAGAGCCTTGGGTGACCTGGTCTAGTGTGAGCTGACCCTGCCCATGGCAGGGAGGTTGGAACTAGATGATCTTAAGGTTCTTTCCAACCCAAACCAATGTATGATTCTATGTTACTATGACAAACATGAGATGAAATCAGTAACATAATTACAGGAAATCCTCTAAACAGGGCAAATTCTTATATAGCCAGCTAAATGGATAAAAAAAGCAAATATGATGTCAGCACAACACAAATAGGCCAAGAGACCAGAAAGAGTTAATTCCTGTCTGTATCAACATACAGCAGAAATTAATTCCCTAGTAAACTATCAAGAATTCATCACTCTAAGAAGCTTTGAGTGCAAAAGTTTATCTTTTGCACTTAACAAATAGGGGGTTAAATCCCAGGTCTGTAGTCAGGCAGACTTGAAATCTCTAAAAACAGCTAAAACTGCTCCTTTCACAACAGAATGTTAACACCCAGCTCTAGCAAGACCATTTTATATAGCAACCTTGGTAACATTGGTTAAACTGTTGCAAAAACTTCCAATTCAGAACTTTATGGAAAACACATCTCAGTTCTATAGCTGTTTTTTTTTCAACTTGAGAAAAATCTCCATCACTTGGAAGTGACATTCTGAAAAAATTAGTTTTAATTTTCATACCATTTTACAACACTGTTTCAAGGTTGCATTACAAAGTGATACCTACCAGCATTTCTGTATAGAGATGGATTTTACCATATTGAGTTTTAGTATCAGAAACAAGTAACACCACTCTCGGAGAAAGAGTATGTGATTGGGGAAGATAAGATCTTTGCTCAGATGCCTGAAAAACCCACTCATGCCCACAAAGGGAAGGAAACTAGAGATACAGAAATCACCAACAGGAAAAAGCTGCTGATTAAATACTAGTTTTGCTTCTTTTTCCCATACTCTTTCCCTCTATGAGACAAAAGTGTCAGACACGTGCCCTATTTACAAAGCAATGAAGATACAAAAAGCTTACCAACTTTGGTGTTAACCTGTATTCTGGAGGTATTGTATCATCAAGTTCTCCAGCCTTTTTTACCTTTTTCTCCTTAGCTTTAGCCTTAAAAAGAAAAAAAAAAATCACAGAAATTAAAATAAAAACTCCAAAGCAGACTCAACTTCAGTATCAAGATTCATCAGCCTATTGTTTGAAGAAGAATTGGTATCAGATAAAATTATTCCATATAGTAAGATATTAAAATTCCTAAATTTATTCCTATCAAATTTATGTGGTAAAATAACCTTAGTCTAAGAATCAATGCCATATGTGAACACAGCTGTACTATTTTAAATTCTAAAAAAACTACTCAGAGCCATAACTTTGTGGCACATACTTCGAGAATTTCTGTGTGTACAAAACCCTCAGGTTTTCTTGGATTTCATCACTTTGATTATAGATGCCATAATTCTGTATTTTTTTCCATCACTGTTACGGAAACCCAGCCTTTAATTTTCTGGATATACTTCCAGAATTAATGCATCCACTATGTAATCTGAAGGCGCAGGCTGAATTAACCTGCACTACTATATGCTCTTTTTTGTAAAAATTTTAGCTGTGGCATTTTTTCTCAGCAACAAATTATTCTCTGCTATTTCCCTGTCATTTGTTTGCTCTGAGCTGTAAGTGAATACAAGGGAAAACAAATGCTAGTGATAAGAGTTATAGCAGAGTTTGCAAAATTAAAGTAAAAAGTCCAAGTTTAACATGCAAACACAGGACTACTGTTAAAATCTAACTGTTGAAGAAAAACAAAACTCTTAGAAGTCAGAGTGAAAGGCAAAACCCAAATCAGAAAATAATGGGGTCTGATAGATAAAGAAGCACAGGCACTAAACACCTGAAATGTCAATTAAAAATGAAATTATAAACATATGCAAAACAAAAGCTTGCTATAAATTGTACCCAATGCTTGAGAAAAAAAACAGAACTATAACTAACAGAGTGAAAGGTGTATGTATGTAAGCTTGTACAGTCAAATGAAATGCAAATGAATTCAAATGAAAATTCAAATGAAATACAGTCAAATTAAAAATTTTCCAAACCACCTTACTGTATTTTTTTTTCTTGTATCCACTCAGGATTTCTTCACTTCTTAATCTTCTTAATCATGTAAGAGTCAGACATTCCTTAGGCCCCTGATATGAAAGTCTATTTTACACATTTGTACAGTATCTAACAAAGAAGTCATGTGATTCCACGGGAAAGCCTGAAAACTGCTGTAAAAGTGAGTAAGACTATACCTCTGCCACCTCTACAACAGGGGTATGATCTTCAGGTTCAGGTTCAGGTCCACCAAGAGTACCAAGAAGAACTTCCATTGCATCATCTTTAATTTTCTGCATTTAAGAAAATTCATAAATCATTCAATTACTAATTTAAATTGACAAAGATTTTACCTCATACATCTTTTACGCTGTACGTGAAGCAAACAGCCAGTACCAGACTGGTCATTTCTGTTTGGTTTTACCTGATTTCCTTAACATCACATTGGAGGACAATGCAAATCATGTGGTAAGATTAACACAGTCCAATCAATATGTATCTCCTCTTAAGGAGAGAGGAAAAGGAAAAAAAAAGGGGGGGAGGGGCAGAGGGGAGGGAGCACAATATCATGTAATTGTGAAATGCTTTGACATGGTAAACCCAGAATGTATAACATCATATTGCTCTCTACAGAGGAAACAAGAAAGGTTTTTGAAACATGAGAAAACTACATCAGATACAAGTTTTAAACACACCTCACATAGCTAAGAAAACACATACATTTTTCTACTCTTGCTCACAGCCAGAAGAACCACTGTTATTCTGCAGAATAATGCAGAAAACAAAGTAATCTGACCCACTGAGGTAGAGCAGAATCTGAGCAATGACAATTCCTATTATTCCTATAATTCCTATGATAAACAGGATTTACAGCTGAAAATCAGGATGATCATAGGATCATAGAATGGTCTGGGTTAGAAGGGACCTTAAAGCTCATCCAGTTCCAACACCCTGCCGTGGGAAGGGACACCTTCCACTAGACCAGGTTGCTCCAAGCCCCATCCAACCTGGCCTTGAACGCTGTCAGGGATGGGGCAGCCACAGCTTCTCTGGGCACCCTGTGCCAGGGCCTCACTACCTTCACAGGGAAAAACTTCTTTGTAAGATCTCATCTCAAGCTCCCCACTATCAGGCTAAAGCCGTTCCCCCTTGTCCTGTCCCTGCAGGGACTTGTCAAAAGCCCCTCTTCAAATTTTTTGTTAGCCCCCTTTACATCTTTCCAAGATCAGGCAAACATAAAACACAATACATGCTTGTATTTTTTAATTAGAAGTCAGCTACTCCATGAATGACTATGTATACCTCTTTTGATTTTGTTTTCTTCTCCTTAGGAGGAACCGAGGTCTTTACTGAACTTACTGCTTGTGCTTGTACAATTTCTTCTTCCTTACTTGGTTTCTATGAGAGATACAAAATTACAGGCAAATTTTAAAAAAATCAAAACGAGAAAATAGTCAAGATAATTTTAAAGTGAACTACTAAGATACCAATGGCAATGTTTCATTGCAGTAAAGGCAACCAATTGCAAGAAAAATATCAATACCTCTGTCAGTCTTGTCTTTTCTTCAGCAGAAGCAGTACTACAGGCAAAGTCTGATGACAAGGCCTCTGCAAGCTCATCGTCCGTCATTGGTTTCTGAGCGAGAAATTGCAGATTAGGTTATGATTATTAAATTTCAAATATCAGTAGTGTCAAACCTGGTTTAAAATCTGAGTGCACTCCATGCTTATTCACACAATGACCTCATAACAAGACGATGGCATTACAGAAAAATTGTATTTCCCCTCAATGGTAGATTCATTTTTCAGATAAGCTTTTTTTTTTATGTTAAACTTATAAAACAGTAAAATTAAGCTGGCTTACAGAATTCTCTTGTGAAGTACAGAAATACAAGTTGTCTTTGCTAAAGACATATGCACGGCTACTATTTCTTCCTTTTGTTATTATTATTGCTAGGATCTCTATGACCACTTATCTGATTTGTTTCAGCTTCAAGTGTTGTGAAAATTCTTGCTTCTTTATTAAAATCATCTGTACCAAAGTCTAATTTCTGTGACAAGTTCTAGCAGCATCTACATTATATGGCACCCCACAGACCTCTCCCACTTGCTGGGATTTTTGGAAGACAGGCAACACTTAAATTTTCTTAGGAATCAAATGATTATTGGGTTATTTTCACCTTGCAATTTTTATTTTTTTTTTAAAGGTAACTTACTTCCTCTCGTTCATCTGCTTTTGGTGGGAATCCATCTTTGCCACCCCCTTTGCTCTAGAACGAGAATTAATTTTGTAGTAAATGGTAAGCAAAAACTTACAATATAAAACACACACGAAGAATATGCTTTTTTTAACTCACTAACCTTCAACAATTTAACATACTCTGGAGGGAGACTACCTTCTCGTTTACCCAGTTCTTCCAAGTATCTTGAAGATATATCTTCCTATGAAAAGAATGCACACCTTAATGTCTTTGTACTCTTCTTTATTGAAATACATTTCTAATGTAGAACTATCTACAGTGATAATTCTGTAAAGAAAACACAAGAGCTGGCTAGGTCACAGGACAATCCTGGACTGTCACTATAGTGTCTTTCAGAACTAGTGTCATTCATGTGGCATCTCGACTAGCTGCAACAGTGCACACCACCTAGCAAAACTTTGCCTCTCCAGATTTCTTCTGTATTAATATAAGCCATTTCAGTGTCTCCAGCCATAGAATGTATTGCTGTACATAAACTGAATTCTAAATATTGATAAACTCCAAAATTTTCATCACAGCTGAGTACTGCTTTTAATCTTCATTCTTCTTATAGAATCATAGAATAGTTAGGGTTGGAAAGGACCTTAAGATCATAAAGTTCCAACCCCCTGCCATGGGCAGGGACACCTCGCTCTAAACCATATCACCCAAGGCCTCATCCAACCTGGCTTTGAACACTGCCAGGGATGAAGCATTCACAGCCTCCTTGGGCAACCTATTCCAGTGCCTCACCACCCTTAGCGTAAAGAACTTCTTCCTTATATCCAATCTAAACTTCCCCTGTTTAAGTTTTAACCCATTACCCCTTGTCCTATCACTACAGTCCCTAACGAAGAGTCCATCCCCAGCATCCCTATAGGCCCCCTTCAGATACTGGAAGGCTGCTATGGGGTCTCCACGCAGCCTTCTCTTCTCCAGGCTGAACAGCCCCAACTTTCTCAGCCTATCTTCATGTGGGAGGTGCTCCAGTTCCCTGATGATTCTCATGGCCCTCCTCTGGACTTGTTCCAACAGTTCCATGTCCTTTTTATGTTGAGGACACCAGAACTGGACACAATACTCCAAGTGATGTCTCACCAGAGCAGGGTAGAGGGGGCAGGATCACCTCCTTTGACCTGCTGGTCACGCTCCTTTTGATGCAGCCTAGGATACAGTTGGCTTTCTGGGCTGCAAGTGCACACTGAAGCCGGCTCATGTTCATTTTCTCATCGACCAACACCCCCAGGTCCTTCTCTTCAGAGCTGCTCTGAATCTCTTCTCTGCCCAACCTGTAGCTGTGCCTGGGATTGCTCTGACCCAGGTGTAGGACCTTGCACTTGGCATGGTTAAACTTCATGAGGTTGGCATCAGCCCACCTCACAAGCGTGTCAAGGTCCCTCTGGATGGCATTCCTTCCCTCCAGCTTATCAACCGAACCACATGGCTTGGTGTCATCAGCAAACTTGCTGAGGGCGCACTCAATCCCACTGTCCATGTCACCAACAAAGATGTTGAACAAGATCTGTCCCAACACCGATCCCTGAGGGACACCACTCGTTACTGGTCTCCAGCTGGACACTGAGCCATTGACCACAACTCTTTGTGTGCAGCCATCCAGCCAGTTCTTTATCCAGCTAGTGGTCCATTCATCAAATTGATGTCTCTCCAATTTAGAGACAAGGATGTCGTGTGGGACAGTGTTGAACGCTTTACACAAATCCAGGTAGATGACATCAACTGCTCTACCCCTGTCCATCACTTCTGTAGTAGCCCCATCATAGAAGGCCACCAAATTGGTCAGGCAGGATTTGCCCTTAGTGAAGCCATGCTGGCTGTCACCAAGCACCTTGTTGATTTTCATGTGCCTTAGCATGCCTTCCAGGAGAATCTGCTCCAAGATTTTGCCAGGCACAGAGGTGAGACTGACTGGTCTGTAATTCCCCGGGTCATCCATTTTCCCCTTCTTGAAAATGGGGGTTATATTTCCCTTTTTTCCAGTCGTCAGGAACTTCACCTGACTGCCATGATTTTTCAAATATGATGGCCAGTGGCTTAGCAACTTCATTTGCCAGCTCCTTCAGGACCCATGGATGGATTTCATCAGGACCCATGGACTTCTGTATGTTCAGGTTTTTAAGACGGTCTCGAACCAGTTCCTCTCCTACAGTGTGCCCAAGGTCTTCATTCTCACAGTCCCTGCGTCTGCCTTCCAAGACTTGGGTGGTGCAGTCAGAGCCTTTGCCAGTGAAGACCGAGGCAAAGAAGTCATTCAGAACCTCAGCCTTCTCCAAATCCTGTGTAGCTAGTTCACCTGAGAGCTTCCTGAGGGGGCGTACGTCCTCCCTAGTCTGTTTTTTATTTGCTATGTACCTGTAGAATCCCTTCCTGTTGTCCTTAATATCCCTAGCCAAGTTTAATTCTAACTGGGCCTTAGCTTTCCTAACCTGGTCCCTAGCTTCCCAGACAATATCCCTGTACTCTTCCCAGGCCGCCTGTCCTTGCTTCCACTTCCTACAAAACTCTTTTTTTCATTTGAATTTTCCTCAGCAGCTCCTTATCCATCCAAGGAGGTCTCCTGGCCCTCCTGATGCATTTCCTTCTAGTTGGGATGCAAAGCTCCTGAGCTTGTAGCAGGTGATCCTTGAAGACCAACCAAGAGTCTTGAGCCCCCTGCCCTCTAGGGCTATATCCCATGGAACCTTACTAAGCAGGCTCCTGAGGAGGCCAAAGTCTGCTCTCTTGAAGTCTATGGCAGTGAGCTTGCTGCACACTCTTCTCACTGTCCTAAGGATCTCAAATTCAACCATCTCGTGGTCGCTGCATCCAAGGCTGTCCTGCAGTGCCACATTTCCAATGAGTCCTCCCCAGTTGGTGAGCATGAGGTCAAGCATGGCACCTCTCCTTGTCGGTTCCTCTATTACTTGCAGAAGGAAGTTGTCTTCCACACAATAGAGGAACCTCCTGGATTGCTTGTGCCGGGCCGTACTGTCATTCCAACAGATGTCAGGGTGGTTGAAGTCACCCATGAGAACGAGGGCCTGTGAGCGTGAGGCTGTTCCTATCTGCCTATAGAGTGCTTCATCCGCAGATTCCTCTTGATCAGGTGGTCTGTAACATATCCCCACTGTAATGCCTCCCATCGCCGTTTTCCCTTTAACCCTGACCCACAAGCTCTCTGTTAACTGCTCACCTATCCCTGGATGGAGTTCCATACTCTCCAGCCTATCCCTAACATAAAGGGCAACTCCCCCTCCACGCCTGCCAGGCCTGTCTTTTCTAAAGAGTCTGTAACCTTCCATTTCAACACTCCAGTCACAGGAGCCATCCCACCATGTTTCTGTGATGCCTATTATATCATACCCCCGTAGACGAGCACACATCTCTAATTCCTCTTGTTTGTTCCCCATGCTACAGGCATTTGTATAGAGGCATCTGAGCTGAGCTCCAAATGAAGCCGGCCCATTGGCCCAAGCAGCCGGAATATCTCTGCATTGCTCCAAGCATTTATTATAGGTGCTGGCAACTGACTGGGAGTGTTGAGATGGAATGATGTCCCCCTCCCCCAACACATCTAGTTTAAAGCCTCCTTGACCAGTCTGGCAAGCCTCCTACCAAAACTGCTCTTCCCCTTCTTTATCAGACCAGCTCCACCAGCCCCCGCTAGACCTGGCGTACAAATTTGGGTCCCATGCTCAAGACACCCAAACCCTGACTATGACACCACCATTTTAACCATTTATTAACCTGGCTAATCCTCCTAGCTTTTTTTAGGTCCTCCCCTGTACCCTGGAGAATAGATGAGAAGACAATCTGAGCTCCAGAGCCCTTAACCACCTCTCCCAGGGCTCTGTAGTCCTTCTTTATGTTCCCAGGCTACTACTATCTATACCCCTAGCACTCACATGTGTCACCAGAAGTGGGTAATAGTCCATGGGGCTTACTAGAGCAGGCAGCCTCTCTGCCGCATCCCTGATCCCATGCCTCTGGTAGGCAACACACCTCCCTTGAGACCGGGTCAGGCCGACAGACGAGTGCTTCTGTCCCTTTCAAAGTAGAATCCCCTACTACTACGACCTGTCGCTTTTTCCTGGCAGCACCAGTAGAGATTTTCTTTACTAGTGCATCAGCAGGTTGTTTCTGGCGCAAGTGTGTTTCCTTATGAGCTCCCTGCAGGAGCAAAGCAGTTCTGTGTGGGGGCAACAGGTTTAGGAGGAAGTGCCTTGCTTTTAATTGTCCTTTTCCTCCTTTTTTTTTTTTTTTTTTTTTTGTCACCAATTCCCAGCTTTGAGAGTTAACAACCTCCTTCTTTCCTCCATGAGCTACAGGGGAAGCTTGAGGACTCTGCACAGTTTGGGCAGGGAGCAAGCATTCCTGCTTCCCCTCAGCTACCCTGACATCTTGTAGACTATATGTTACTTTCCTAAACTAACTCAGAAAAGTATGCTTCCTTCCCCAAATTCTCAAGATATTACTCTTTCTCAAGCAGAAATGAAATCTCCTAGATTGCTTAATGCTCCCTTATGTCTCCATCACTGCCTTTTGTAGATTCATTGGAGGCCATGCCTGGAATTCAGTTAAAAAAGCAACAACTGTCTTTACTGACCCTGTTTTCTACTGAGATACACTCATAACTGTATCATTGGTTTTACTGAAAACAGCACTAAGATGCAACTGTGCAAACTCTACTTCACCCCTTAGCAGATCTAAGCAACAAATACTGTATCAATGTAGCAGTAAGCAACTACAGACATATTTTAGAGATTAAACTTCTAAAAAATAAAAATTAAAAATGCAAAATACCGTAACTTCTGGGCCAGTGTAAACAGGACTAGTAGGCACATCTTCTTCAGGTCCACCCAGGGTGTCTATTAGGCTATCTAGTGCTGACTCATCCATTCCAGGCTAAAAAAAAAAAAAAAAAAAGCAAACCATTCTAGAAGTTACTATGCTGTACAAAAAAAAAATCTGAATCATTTGGTGAATCTGTAGAAAACTCCTGGAAACAAGACTAAAAGCTTCCTGCACTTGCCAAAGTTTTCAGTGAGAAATGTTCTTCCACTTCTTCCCTAAGTGTCAGTAACAGACTCATTTGTAGTCACGTACCACCTCAGATGTAGGGATATACAAACATAACTGAGATAAAGAGTAATTAAGTTTATGCTAGCTGTGGTAAAATTGATACTAAACAAGCCCTATTTGACAAAGCATAAATGACATACCACTAGTTTATTACCTATTCTTTCAGATAGTCCTTCACTACCATACGTAACTATTACGCGGCAGTACTTTAGCAGTTACTGACTTTTTTTCCTGAAACAGAAGTGTTTCAGAGAGAGAAATACCCTCCAAGTCATTTTTACATGGAAGCACTTATCGGACTCTGTTTACCAACCTTGCTGCTTGACTTATCAGCCACACGAACTACACTTGCACCAGCTGCACCTGCACTGGCTGCAGGAGCCTCTGTGGTCATTTTCTCAGACTTGGGCTGGAAAATTAAGAAAAAAAAAAAAAAAAGAGACAGCTTCATTATACTGCCCTATGTTAAAAATGCAAGAGACAAAAAGTAAATCAGAGATCTTCTACACAGGCATACGTATCTATTTGCCCTCTTCATCTACACTTCAAATAAGAAGCTGGTTCTACCTACTAGCTCAGTGGTCTGGAAGTTGAGTAGCTGCACACTGTGTGATACTGAGCCCAGCCTAAAACATCCAGCTCCGAGGCTGCATGTATTCTTTTGGACTCAGCAACAGGCTAATGAACCTGCCCAGTGTCCAGATACTGGGGCAGAGCAAGCTACCATCTACCTGCAATACTACAGAGGCATTCTCTGTTTCCAGAGTGGTTTTGATGTGAGAAAGGAAGCATGCCATTTTAAATACTTTACCTCTTTGTTTTACTTTACCAGTAAAAGAAATCTCCAGTGCAGAAAGACTACAAGGCTCCTTCCAAGTCTCTTCTGAAAGCTTTCACTTATACCTCATAGTTCTCAATATACCATAAACACTAGCAGCAAATACTGTTCAAACAGGAAGGGTGAAAACTGCTACAGTGAGTTAGGTGCAGGCACAACGCCAACACAAAATGAAGACTTTCTCATTTACTGCAAGAAAGTGGGTTAACAACAGAACTGCAGGAGTCCTTCATGTTACATTTGCCTTATCACCCAGACATGTGCAGACCAGAAGACCAAAAGATCTAGATCCTGACTCAACCACACACTTTTACTTAAGATTTTTCTCCACTTGCCCCTCTGAAAGTGACTGCACCCCAAGTTTTTCCCCAACCTTTTCCCCAACCTTTCTCTTTCTTGTAGGCATGGTTTATGGGCTACCTCACTGCAAATCCACAACCTGGTGACCTACTACGTATAGAGCCAACACTGCTGCTACATATATGCCTGGAAGCCCATAGACAAACGAGCTCTATGATGGCACTGCTCATATAAACAAAGCTTGACTGACCAGACAGTCCCTTCTATTCACCTTCTGCCATGAAAGGGCAAGGGAAAAGACTGGTGAAGTACCATTTATAACCACGTAGCTGCAAGGAACGTGCAAAAAAGCTTGCCTGAACGGCAGAGGAGCCCCAAACACGTAACACATGGGAACAGACCTATACTTGTGAGGGTTGTTAGCATCACTTGCTTGGCTAACAGGCAAGTGTTGGAAAAATCGACGTATGAAGAGGACAGCAAAAGGTGGACACACATAAGGATCACCAAAAAAACAGTGCAAACTACCCATACCACGTGGCTGGGTTGCTCAATCTGCAGCCAATGCTCATCCTCTAATGCTGTTACGGGTTAGCTGGAAGTGGTATATTCAGCATGGTGTTTAAGTTACTTAATGGGTAAAATGTGAACTTTCTAAGTCCCAAAATTTAAAGCAGCACAAGGAGGTTTGTCATAGCCACCTTTAATCACGAGACAGCTCTTAACTTTTCTACATTGTGAATTTTGGGAGTGTAGTCTCACTTGCAATATTCAGCATAAGAATCCATCTTGAAATGAATTTTTAACTCCTTATAATAACATAAACAATAAAAATTTTATTTGCTACTTCTACCATACCTTTGCTGTCTCTATGGAGATTGCTTGTGGAGGCTGGCCAGCTTGAGCTGTAGTTACCTTTTCTCCATTATTTGTCGTCAGAGAAGTGGAAGTTTGGCTTTTTGCCTGTGTAGAGACAAACTATTATTAGATAAAAAACGCTTATGGGATGGATTTGTTTTTTGGTGTAGTTTTGTTTTTTCATGGTTTTTGTGGGGTTTTTTTAGGGAGGGAGGGTAGGAGGGAAGAAAGGAGGAAGGGACGAAGAGAGGAAGGAAGGGAGGAAGAAAAGGTGGAAGGAAAGAAAGGAGGGAAAGAAGGGAGAAAGGGAGGAAGGCAAGGAAGGAGACAAGGAGGAAGGGAGGGAGGGAAATATCACTGCAGCCTTTTTTTTTTTGGGTGGGGGGGAGTGGGGGTTGAAAAAAAATACTAGAGAAAACCTGTACAACTTACACCATTGGGGTCCTTTTGCCTCTCTTCAGACAGCTGTTTATTTTGAGAGTCTGTTGGCTGTCATAAAATAAAAAAATTAGGTAATTTACCCTTACCACCATTCAGTGTTTTGTATTGTGATCTACACTAGTTCAAATAAGCACAAGACACATTAAAGGTGGTTAACAGAACACATCCTGAGGTGCTGTGTTTCCACACCTGTTTGCTCCTTGCTCTTGTGCACACAGGAACATTAGAATGTTACTAATCACATGGCAGTTTCATGTGGCACAGCAGTGGCAAAGAGTTTAGCCTCTTTCTTCAAAGTTAGTCTAGTCCAAAGTTCAACACTTGCCAAAGGTGAAAGGTAAGTATTTACCTTGGTTGACTGCATGTTTTTCCCAGACTCTGTTACAGTTGTTGGTGCAGGCTGAAATATAAGTAACATATATTCAAATGGAGATTAATATACTTAGTTATTTCTAAGGAGTGGGCTTATAAACATAAGAATATCAGGTTCATGCTTGTGAGCACTTATGCTATGTAACTAATATACAGTGCCCCGATCTAACAGTTTACAACATTCTGACACAGACCTCCACTCCAGTGACCCAAGGTCAAATGTGTGCAAACATTTGTGTGTATACACACACTCCTCATACAAAGGATAGAAAAGAGAAGGAAATAATGCGTCAAACAAATAGAATGAACAGTTTGATTTATACTTGCAAATTTTCTGCAGCCATGATACAAAATTGGTTCCTGTGATTCACCTCATGTCAAAGTACAGTAACCAACAGATTTTTACTAGCAGAAATAAGAACACTGAAAAATTCAAGAAGTTGTATTTGATAAGAAGGAAAAATTGAAATGCTAGCCTCCTCACTGTATTTTTCCTTTTTTCCCTCCTCTTGCTTCTTCAGCAGTGCTACGATTAACACAGGAGCCAGCCAGCCAGAATTCTTCCGTATCCCCTCTATTCTACTAATACACTGAGCACATTTAAAAGATACTAAGAGATAAATAATCGTGTTTTTTCCCCCAGTAGCCTATTAAAAATCAGTGAACAACCAAAAGAAAAAAAAAACCAACTATTAGGCAGTAATTATAGATTTCTTCATTGTTGTAATGCTCTCATTTCAGCTGCCAAATATCAATTAACATTGCTATACTTCAGCTTCTCTTTTCTAGCTAACCACATTTGCCACATTTGTTTACCATGTGTTATGCAAGTATTCACACCCCCACAATGAACCACAGACACTTGGTTGGGAAATCCTGAATGCGCATAGAAACACAGATGCCTGGCCATAAGCTTCACAAAGATCTCAAGGCTGTACATCACATCACCACCACAAGTCAGTCACAACATGGAAAATATTGACAAAGAAGGAGGACAAAAAGTTTCCAAAATCCAAAGTGGAGAAAAAATTAATATTAAAAAAAAAATCACTTAACCTATCAAGATTCCCTGCTTTGGATTTTCTCTTAATGTTTGACTTGATTAAAAAACACATATAGGATGATTCAACCATGCTGTATATGCTCCCCCACTTGTACATCCTCATTACATGACTACCATATGGTTAACTCAAACACATACATCCACCATTTGTGTACCTGTAAATAATCCTATATTGAAAAGGTAATCCTAGATTTTCAGATTTTAAGCTAAAAAAGGTTGGTCATGTTTATGTAGCATTTAAAGCAAAGAGTCAATGAGACCTAAGACATCCTTCAGCTGCAAGGCTGCAGAAAAACGTAATAGACGTACAAGCTTGAGGTTCAAGAAACATAGTTTGACTTTTCCTGCCGTGGGACTGTTGTAGCATATAGCTTGTGGGTTTTTTTTAAAAGGAACATTTATATAGACATAGTTACAAACTGGAACCTGTGTCACTATGGAAAAGCCTGGACAGATACAGGGGCCTCTTAAAAGGTCAGGATGACCTGGGAAAAACCCTAATGAAGATAATTGCCAGCCAGGGAAGACGCACTGGCCTTGTGTAGGTGGAATGAGAAAAACAGAACTGAGCAAAACAGGACTAACAAACCTCTGATCAGTAAAAACTATTAGTGAAGACTGGTACATCCTGAAAACACATGGACGCTATCAACGTATGTCTCTAATGTATCAGCATAACATGATTAGCATGTTCTTTCGGTGAACTATCCTCATTATAATCCCATCTCTTAACTAAAAATCACTCCCACAACTCAAAAGACTCCTGACAGGTGAGAAGACCCCTCCCTGAGCAGTAGTTCAAAAACAAATGATGTCATCTTATGTAAATTAACTGACAAGTCATTAAATGGTGGGAGGGTTACATGGGGTTACTAACCTGAGCTAAATTGTATAAAAATGTGAATTTTATGGGGTGATGAGCTAGCTCAGTGGAATACTACGTAGCACCCGTTTTGGAGCAAACTTGGAATAAACAAATACTTTGACTCTGTGTGTGAGAACTGGCTACTGCACACTTGGCAACCACAGGTCTTGGTTTTGGGATGACTGTTGCCTGCTCAGGATTTTACGTACCCTGCTGCTAGAGCACAAATTCAGGTTTTCCTTTTGTGCTTTTCAGAAGAGGAGTAAACACCCTTTTTCTGCAGGACGATAAAATATATTTACTTGCATTTCTGTCAATACATGACAACAGCTGTATAGAACATAAATTCAGATTCTCAGCCTGCCAAACCAGTTATTAGCAACTGCATGCTTTTTCTTTTTTTTTTAAATATTGTAAATATTATTATACTAAAGAGCATATATAAAGGGGTTTTTTTCAGGGTATGCACTATTCATTAGACTTTTATCTCTTTCAAACTGTGCAGAACTGCTCGTACGATAAATTTATCTGTGACAATGCTGAAGAATATACAGACCCACACGCATGGTCATGAACACATACATACTCACACACACTTCAGGTACACTTTTAGCAATAACAGAATTAAAATTGAATAAAGAAAGAAAAAATTACTACCAGGCAAGTCAAACCCACAATTTTAGTATGAGACTATATATATTCAAAGGCAACAATTCAGTCATCCTTTAAATAGAGTCAGCTCTGAGCAGTCACAGCCTGAAGCCACAGGTCAGTTTACACTGAGTATACACTGATCTCCTGTGGAGAAACAGATGTTCCCCTTCCCGTTTTACTGCCTGCTTCCACCTGCACTGCACCAGTACCTGAAAGGCCACATTTTAAACTGACTCAGGAAACTGAAAAATAGCCTGGGAAAGGAAACCAGGATTTTTTAACTAGTTACCTAGGTTACGGTGCAGTGGCACAACCACATGCAAAGAAAAGAAAGCTGGGTGGGATTTGGTTTTGTTGGTGGCAGTACCCAGCTCCCTCCACTCCTCCAGTGAAAGCCACAGGGTGCCTGCTCTCCACCCTAGTCCTCCAACCTTCCCACCTAACCCCTGAAGCTTCACCTACAGAACAAGAAGTTCCACATTCCTTCCTCTGCTGCAGTAACTCACAGTTTTCTCAGAGGCGCATGATACTGAGAATTAATCTGAGGCAAAGGATTCAAATACAGAGAACTGGAAGCTAAAGACAGGTTCTGAGCATGTCTAAGAGTACTAACACACCAGTGAGACTCTAGGAAAGACAAATGAGGTAGTTAGATCAATCAATCAATCAATCAATCAGGAAAGATTTGGTAATTTGCAAGAAATTCTGGACTAGAAATGAAAGTGACTCAGCAAACACATTTCTTTTCAAAGTACTGTCAGAATGCAGGTGACTTGCTTCATCCAGCAGGAGGAAGACATTAATAATGCAACAGACATTAAAAGAAAACATTAATTGTCTTACACATGCAAATGCACGACATGGTTTCAAAGGGATTTGTGTTTACCAGTCTCACAGCACTGGAGTATGACTCTGCCACTATTTTTGTCTCATCTTGCAAACACAAGTTTTAAAAATCTGATTAGAAATCTACCACATTCTTCTGAGTGTTATTTCAAATTTCAAGTAAAGAAAGAATTTTTAGAGGGCTGACTCGGAAAACAGCATCAGTAACAAACATGATACGAATGAGTTTACTCTCAGACAGGAACATGAACCCAGAGATCTGCAGTACTTTCATTTATAAGTAATGATGATTGTGCAGTAATGGACAAGGTTTAATTGTCATACAGCTCACTGCTACCAGTTTGTGTCTTACATGTGTTCACAGAGGAAAAGGGTTTTAAAAGGTTGAGGGGAACAAAATGGCTAACTTAAGCACAGAAAAGATGGAGCTAGGCTGTCTTCACAGATGAACACTAAAAGGGCAAAAGGAAACAGATAAAAGTTGCAGCAAATCACAGAATCACACACTGGTTTGGGTTGGAAGGGCCCTTATAGATCACCTAGTTCTGACCTTCCGCCACAGGTAGGGACACCTTCCACTGGACCATACAAGTCCCATACAACCTGGCCTTGAACACTGTCAGTGATGGGGCAAGGGAATTTCCCATTTCATAAAAAGAAAAACATCACCATCATGAAGGTAGCAAAACATTAGTCCTGGCTACCCAGAGATGTTAACCTGCGCACTTGCATGTTTTCCAAGCTCACCTGGCAATGCTGTGAGGTGTCTGTTTTACCTACAGAGTGGCTCTGCCAGGACTAGAGGACCTCCAACCTCACTATTCTACATGTTCCTTCACTTGCATGTACACAAGGTGCTGCACAAGTCCTGGCTGGCCTAGTTTGGTATTCAAGACTTTTGCTGTTTTCACTGTTACTATTATGGAAAATGACAGAGGGAGAGATTCATTAATTGTTTGTTTAAACAATATTCATACATTCTGTTAGGCAACAGAGGCATAAGGGAGGATTACAGTTCTTGTCTAACAAGTTAAGTACCTGACTGATGACACAGGTTCGGCACTAAAAAAAATTCCAGTCATAAGGCAAGACAGAACAAGCGTAAATGACAAACGCAGAGAAGCTGTCAGACAGTCAAAGATAATAAATCAACAAGAAGATGCAGCTGTACGTACATTAAAAGCTGAAGCTTGTCCTGAATTCTTTGAATATGAGAATTTCCATTAGGTAAATAACTGTAATTACACTGGGGGGAGCTCTATACATGTCACAAAATGCGACTGACCAAAATTAGAAATTTTGATGATTTTTTTTGTTTGTTTTACTGCTGTTACAAAATCCTCTGAGTGCTTTGTATGGCATTTTTAGATATTTATTAAAGAGAAAAATAAGATTCAGATCAGACATATGAAGTAAAGTTACTCAGTAACAAAGTGTTACAAAATGAATTCCATTTCTTTATATAGCTTTGCTTAACTGCAAGCACAAATTTCTCAGGAATTCATACCTTTGTTTCAGATGGCTTCATGGTTTGGGGTTTTGAGGCATCCACAGCAGGGGACTGCTTCTAAAAGGGAAAAATACAAACAAATTAATTTCACTTTTGTTATACATACTTCTATTGAGCAAGCACAGACAACCTGAAATCATTAGATAGCCAGCTAGAAGTTAAAAAAAAGATTACTGAAAAATCAGACCTATCATTTTATATCTTCTGTCTTGCCTGTATTTCTACAATAAACGTATGTAGGATTTTGACAGCATGATGCCCGTAGACCTCACAACTGTTTTTTCTCTTAACTTGTGCTGAAAACAAATTCAGTGTGAAATACCAAAACGAACTCAATTCCTGGTCTCATACTGAAGCACGCATACTGGCTGTGGAAGAGCTGTCCATATTTCTTTTTTTCTTTTCTTTTGTACAAAACGGTACTTTTGGATTTACTAGTTTGTTACATAAAATACTTAACACTACATTAGCAAACTCAAGTATGTTGAGTTAAAAAGGAATAATTTACCTGTACATAACATACACAGCGGTGTTCCTACCTATCATGCAACCCTGTTGGAAAAGCTGCAAATGAAATGGTCCGTTTTTCTAGCTTTGGTGATATTAATCTGAGAACAGCCTGTTTTAATTCTGCTATGACTGTACCAAACTGTAAAGCCCAGCAATTAATATTCCAATTGTTTCATCAATACTTTATACAGATGTAATACTACCCCTCTGTTCCTGCCTCACGCTCCTCTGCTCAAAGCTCTATTTGCCATCTCAATCACAGCACATTCAGAGTTTACATTTAAACAAACAGTACAAGTTACTGATTTTTCTAGATTTTTTAATGTTTATTATACCACTTGCGATATGAAAACACACAATCTGAATAAACTCAGAAGCCATTTCACGAGTCCATACCTAGGGTGACTTTTTACTCCCACAAGGAAAATCTTCTCATTTCCGTAACTTTTCATAGTACAAGCATTTCTCAACAGTAATACAAAAGTTGTACAGGATTTAAAAGGTACATTATGATGGTGATGATGGCAGTGTGCTCTCCCCACTGACATATGTGGTATCTTGCACATCTTAGTAAGAGGTTTGACTAAATATGGTAGACAGGAGTGTCATACTACAGAAATGTAAGCAAGTAATACCTGCCTCCACGTATGTATGTGTGTACAGACTATGTAATAGATGTATGGGTGGAGATGTGCACAGGAATGTATAATGCCTCCTACATCAGGACAAGAACAATTTTTTTAAGGACATTTTTATATATTGGTGGGTGTTTGTCCATGAGAAACTTCACATGAGCCTGCTTCAGTGTGCACTCACAGCACAGGAAGCCAATCTTATCTTGGGCTGCATCAAAAGGAGCATGACCAGCAGGTTGAAGGAGGTGACTCTGCCCTTCTACTGTGCTCTCATGAGACCTCACTTGGAGTGTTGTGTGCAGTTCTGCTGGCCTCAACATAAAAAGGACATGGATCTGTTGGAACAAGTCCAGAGGAGGACCACAAGGATGGTCAGGGAACTGGAGCACCTCCTGTATGAAGACAGGCTGAGAAAGTTGGGGCTGTTCAGCCTGGAGAAGAGAAGGCTGCGTGGAGACCTCATAGCAGCCTTCCAGCATCTGAACGGGGCCTATAGGGATGCTGGGGATGGACTCTTCATTGGGGACTGTAGTGGTAGCACAAGGGGTAATGGGTTAAAACTTAAACAGGGGAAGTTTAGATTGGATATAAGGAGGAAATTCTCTCCTGTTAGGGTGGTGAGGCACTGGAACGGGTTGCCCAAGGAAGTTGTGAATGCTCCACCCCTGACGGTGTTGGAGGCTGGGCTGGACATGAGCCTTGGGTGACATGGTTTAGAGCGAGGTGTCCCTGCCCATGGCAGGGGCGTAGGAACTTGGTGATCTTAAGGTCCTTTCCAACCCTAACTATTCTACAAGTCTATGATTCTGCATATTACCATTGGGTAATCTGTAAGCAACACCATATTTTCTTAATTGGCTCTTTAATAGTTTTTCCTTTTCCTTCTTCTCCATGGAATTAATCCAAATTTCTTCTACGTGACTAACAAGTAGGTATGTCTTCTACATCTTCTTATCAGTCACCCCAATCCCTGTCCATTTAACAAAAACATATTTACCTGAGCCATTCTGCATTTAGCCCTCCCTGCCAAGCCATTTTCCTGCAACACACTAAAAAGTTCACTCCCAAGTTCCAGCACAGCAGCACCACTATGACCTACAGACTAGTGAAAACCTCCCAGATAATCCAGCTGGACTAGAGCAACTAGCAGCAGCTAGATGAGTTTAAATGCTCATGGAGGAAGATGAATAGTTTGGGGACAGACAAGTGTGTAATGTATAGCTGCTGCTCAGAACTATGGAGAATGCCACACCATCCTCCCTCTAAAGACTCAGGGCTCATCTGGGGAAACAAAATCCTGCTCTGGTGAGCTGGGGGGGGGGAATGGGAAGGGTGGCGAGTAGCAGAGGGCACCCTCCTACAGACAGGCAGTGCTGTGCCATGCTGGTCTGTGGGCTTCCTCAGGGGTATTACATGCCCTACTTGTCACTTTCTCCCTGAATTCCACAATATTCAAGGGCTCTTAGAGTGTGTGTCTCCAAGCACACCGCATCTGGCAGACTGACAACGCAGAAAGCTACAAGGTCCAACCCCCCCCTCATTTGGCAGTCAATGCACAGCCAGTCAACATCAGCCTGACTGTGGACAGCTTGTCGTTGTTGTTGTGGTTTTCCTCTTCTGAGGGCTGTTACTATGGCCAGCTATGCCAGCTGTCAACTGAGTCACAGTCGGACTGCAGAAGGGGGGAAGCAACACACAGATGTATGCCTAGCAACAGGCATAATAAATGCCTGATGCACAGTTCTCACCATGGAGGTGCAAACCCCTGCTGAGCCTGGGCCAGCAAAGCACACAGGACCACAGGGATTCATGGGCAAGGAGCATGACCACCTGCAGAGGAGCCCACCAAAAGCACAAGACCACCACAACAGGGGTTCAAAAGACAAAGATGAGGTTATGGGCTAACACTGATTAAGCAGAGCCTGGTAACTTAATTACCCACTGCAGGGTCACAGCCTGTGCTTTTACCAACCCGCTTGGCAGGCAGGAGAGGCATGGACAGGCAAGTACAGGAGGAACTGACCCGTAGACCTCAGATGCTCTTGGCAATGAGTCAAAGGATGGCTTACCAGGAAGGGCTGATGAAAAAACTTGGATCTAATTTCATAAGAGAAGGAATACCTTTAGAAACTCATTTGTCAAATTAGCAGGGCAGTTGACATGATACTGTTGAAAGGGAACAGTGACAAAAGCCAAGAAGTGGGTTAGTAAAATAACAAAACCAAAAAAGCTGACCAAAACCTGGTTATCTAGCCTCACTGCATGTACTGAGAAAAAAAAAGAAAGTAAAAGTGACAAACATCACAAGAAAGTAGTTTTAACTGTGCAGAGAATTGGATGCAAACGCCCTTCAGAAAAACGCAAGTGAAGAAATCCATGAGAGCACTCGTCATGGAGACCACCCCATATACAACCTGGTGAAAGCTATCAGCGACTAAAACTATTGATTTGGCAAATTCATGAAAATGATTCATAAGACTGAGGAAGGTCAGTGCTCACCTTTAGAAAGGAGCCCAGTGCACCAATTGGCCACCTTCAAAAACAGGAGAGATGCTGGAAAAACATACCAAGCACCCAACACAGAAATACTTAGCTGACAACGTGAGAATAAACAAGAATCAAAAGACTGGTAAAGAACAAGGCACATAAAGACAGTGCAACACTTAATACACACAAACACGGAAATAAGCTCAGCAAACAGACCTAGGACGTGTTGTCACTGCAACGTCTCATAGTACCTGAGGTGACATTTTCTTGAAAGAAATGGGGAAGGTGTTTACCTGTGGTTACAGTGCTACAGGCTGGCATACTCTTGCAAAATAAAACCACGAAAAGAGGAATCTGAGATAGAAATCTGTTACCATGACAACATAAATATAAATGTAAAATATGGGAATAACTTTCAATCCCTTTTGGCTTGAGGTTCTCTAGGTCAAGTGCTAGGACAGTTTTGGCTGTCACACTGCAATACAGATGAATAAAGAAAGATCTGAGGATATGTTTATGGAAAAAAAAAAAAAGATAAAGTATATATGAGGAACTTAGCGAGAGGAAAAGCAAGTTAGCACCTGATGTGTCTTCCTCCAGTTAAGGACCCAAGAAAATGGGAAAACAAGATAATGGCTTATTCTACAACAAGAATCTCTCAAGTGAGAGCTTCAAGATCTTCCTTTCTGGGAGATGAATTGCTCCATAGCAGAAGCCATACAGATGAAGCAGCGGCTTGCAGCCCTGGCAGCCTTTGGGCCAGCTTATATACATACTTTCTCTATGGACAGAGTACTGAAGAGCCACCCAAGTACCCTTCTGGGCTTACACACATTACATCTGAGGAAACTGGGGCTGTTTCTTAGACTAATGTCAACTTTACTATTTCAGTATTACCAACTTACAGAGTTACTTCAATACAGCTGTGCAATGCAAGGCAAAACCTGATCTACCTGACTACAAATGGTTGCTTCTTTATATTAATGGTTCTGGTACTAAGCTTTAATTAACAGTGTTTGTAATACATGGACAACAAATGCTCTTTGGAGAACTTCTGTGAAAAATAATGGATTATTTCAATGAAGTGTAAAATACCACTTGAGCTGTTATGGGTTAAACCTCTCACTTTGATGGCATGTGGTAATGGCTGTGCAACCCTCACTTACCCAGACACACAAACGCAGTCTGCAGGCAGAAGGCAGGCCAGGGATCATAGAATCATAGAATCATACAATGGTTTGGGTTGCAAAGAATCTTAGAGATAATCCAGCTCCTCAACACTTGCAGGTATGGCACCAAGAAGCCATTCAAGCCCCTCACAATGCTCTTTGTTACACAGCAAGCAAAGTGACATGCAGTCTTCAAAATATATCTGAACTTACTTTAAACATTCCTATTATATATGCCACTATGTTGTCCTGTTTT